AAGATTTTTGTCCTGTTCCGTGAGCCGAAACCCATGAGCTTGCTGCTGATCTCTCAACTTAAATCTCCATCACAAAATTTATTCAATTAAGTTCTTCTGTAATAGTGTGTTTGACATCTACTCACTAACTCAGAATCATAAAGAAAGAGTTATAGACTGAGTTTTCGCTGTGAGACATACCCTCAGGTTTAAGTATAAATAAATTTTCTTTCGGTTACTTGTTGTTCGTTATTACAACAATGTGGTTCTAATTAGATGGATTAGAGGAGTTAAACATTTGAAGTTGTCACGTAATGACAAGCAAAAGATGAAACTTGCGAGATAGCCTTTGTCTCGAGCCCGTCCGTATCGTCCCGAACAATAGACGAGTTGTTTTTTGTGGCTGCCCAGCAGGACTCTATTCATCATCTATTCCGAAAGAACGAAGATAGAATAAATGAGTTTCGATCCAATTCTTTCTCATCGCATTTTCCCTACGTTCTGCGCATACTGACAATCATTAGACAAGAAGAAAGTATTTATCTAATTCTTCTGAGGAAGGGCACTGAAGTATTTTATTTGTGATTTAGAATAAGAATAATTAGCAAACGAAGCTTTAGAGTGATAGTTATAGTCGATGATAAACAGTGAAAGTATGTTATAATCCAAAAAAATTGGGTCGTTTTTGCTTGGGAAGAGATCTTATAAGATATATTATCTTTTACAGTCTGTTTATTTCTTGTTTAGGATATCAAATGCATCATGTTCAAACATATATCACTATTATTATTATTATTGCTTATTTTTTAATTCCCTATTCAAATAGTTTTATTATTGAAGAACGTTATTGTTTATATTTTCTTTTACAAACACTATTGGTATTGAAATTATTCTCTTCTTCCAATATTATAAAATATATTCTATTAATGTGTTTAGTCTACTTAACTCGTCTGTTTTTTCTTTGTCGTGAAGAAAATCAACCACAATGTCAAGATCAATTTGGTCTTCTTGTAAAATTAAACGATAATGATCAATCGATTATTTATCTTGCCATTGTTTGTTCAGGAATATTTTCAATTGGACTTCTGACCAGGCGTAACTATTACAATTTTCGATCATCCGGTATCATTTATATCATTTCTATTTTATCGATTTTTCTTTATTGGATAAAATTTCCGTACTCAACATTATTAGTATTCTACATCAGTATTCTTCTGCAAATATGTTGTTTAGGAGTAAGTCAATGATAAATGATCCATTATCTAATGTTTAACTTACTCTTATTCTTTTTTTCAGATCTCACGAACCCACTCATTGTTCATATTGTATCCATTATTAATATTTGTTACAGGTTATAAACTATCATTGTCCATTACATTACAAGCATCTATTTATTTTGTTCTTAGTCAAATACTTGATCGTAAACAAATTATTTCTCTACAAAATATTTTATTATTATCTTTAATGGGTGAATATTTTTTTTATTCAACAGCTCATCAACCAGTTTTATCACAAATTCGTTGGCAAGCCGCATTTCATGGTCAATCATCATCGGATATTATTGATTCATTTTTTATTCGTGGTATTTTTGTTCTATTAGAAACATTTTCAAATCAGATACTTAATGTGATATTTTTAAAATATTTAGATAATAATAAACATCAACTATTAACAAATGTATTATGTTTAGATTGTTGGAAAATATTAATGACATCTACTAGTGTATTTATTCTTCGAAGACATTTAATGTTATGGAAAATATTTTGTCCAAGATTTTTATTTCAATGTGTAGCATTTATTGTCAAATATATCGTTGTAATACTAATACCACGAACGTTAGATAATAAAAAATTATTAGAATGAAAAATAAAAAATAGAGAAGATTTTTATTTATCAGAAGTGTATAGATGATGAAGAATATCTCAGATAGTATTTGTTCCATTCTTTTCAAGTGACTCAATTCCTCTCTTGGCTGATAGAATTAATGAAACGAGTAGAAGATTCTTTTTTAAAGGATAACAAACATTGGAGACATTTCATGTCATTTTTTAACCTATTTTTTACTACACGTTATCTCTCACGAATCTTCCTGTTCTTTCACTATCTTACTTCGATAACACACATAAATGTCATAATTTGTCAACTTTTTTCAGAGCAAGTTTAATCGTACACTTTGATATAGTAAAGTTTGTAACGTATAACAACACTAAAGGAAAGTAATCCAAATGATTGTCATGTAATGATCTCATACAATCAGATGGTACATTATTCAAATCTTTTGGTTATTAATTTTATTTCTAAATAACTGATATATTATTTTTGTTGCTTTTTATGAAACAGCGAGATACGGTGTTTTACTTTCTTCGTTCCAATGAACAAGATCAAAACATCATTTTTTACTATTATTATGTGAAATAATTTTTCTCTACAATATTTCTCATCTTTGATTCAACAGCTTAATCATTCACTTTTTCTTCTAGTAGTTTCATTTGTTACCCATTATTGATACGGTTTAGTCCATATTTTATAAATAATTAATTTATTTCTTTATTTTTGATACATGTAGATTTTAAAATTATTTAATTTATAGTTCGAATATTTGATTAGTTAGCTAATCTAATATTGGATAAGAAGTGAAATACGAAGAAATAATAACGAGTAGAAAGAAAAAAGTCGAGGATAAAGTCAATCAAAAAAAACAAAAACAACAAATTGAGAATAAAAAGAAAAGAGTATTTTGTTCACGCGGCAAGAATAATAATAGGATAAAAATTTAGCTTTTACAAGATTTTATGTAAAAACGTTGACAATTCATTTTTTAGATATTATTTTAAACATGACCGATACAAACAGTTCTTCATCGGCTGAAACGTCTGGTCAATCATCATCGATTGTTGAGTCAACAAAAAAAGGTCGTCATTTTCATCGTTTGCACGATGATTATCCGTCCATTTTGTTTTATGCGCGAGAAATGAAATCATTAGCAGAAGAAATTTGCGCATGTTCACAATATTTAGTTAATTTAGGTGAAATTGAATGGAAATCATTTCCGGACACCTGGCCAAATATATTCATTAAATACAGTGAAATTATAAGAAATAGTCATGTACTCTATTTAGCATCATTACATAATCCTTTGACAATATTTGAACAAATTTCATTACTCTATCATTTACCAAAATATCAATGTATTAGTTTGAAAGTATTATTACCCTATTTTCCAACAGGTAAGAGATCTATACATACAATAACTCTCTCTCTCTCTCTAATTCAATGTTGCTTCAAAATTGAGTGTGTATTTTCTAGGTACAATGGAACGCATTCAAATTCAAGGCGAAATTGCTACGGCTTACTCATTGGCTGTTATGTTGAGTTCAATACCATTAACACGTACAGGACCAACGGAAATCGTTATACTTGACATTCATGCATTACAAAATCAATTTTATTTTTCATCAAATGTTGTCGTTCGATTAGAATCAACAATCGGTCTACTTTTACATGAACTAAATCAAAAACATAAGAGTAATAAAAATTCAGATAAATATGCCATTGCATTTCCGGATGATGGTGCACATAAACGATATTCACATATGTTCAATACATGTAAGTGTTATTCATTTTTTTTTTTCTACTATCCAATCATCTAGGAGTCGAACGAATTATTATTAACTCTCTGAAATCTTATGCTTTGCTGTACGATATCATGTTCAGTGATCTTTACTCCTGTTATTCTAGGTAGCGATATGAAATATGAACAAATTGTTTGTAGTAAAGTTCGTCTTGATGATAAACGTAAAACAACATTGAAAGAAGGTAATCCAAAAGGTTATCATGTAATTATCGTTGATGATCTTGTACAATCGGGTGGCACCTTATTAGAATGTGCTAAAACATTGAAAGAGAATGGTGCAATTAAAGTGAGTGCTTATGTAACACATGGAATATTTCCAAATGATAGTTGGAAAAAATTTCTATATGATAATGATGAAAATGATATGAAATTAGATACATTTTATGTGACAAATACCTATCCAAATACCGAAGTTCTCATTGATAAACCCCCATTCAAAGTATTATCAATAGCAGGATTACTGTGTAATATTTGTTTTGATTGATTATTATTGCTATAACAATTCTAAATCGTCTGTGATAAATCCAATAAATAATTCGTTTTAATCTTTTTGTATATAACCTGTAATGACGTTAAATATCTTTTACTACCCTTGTAGTATGGAGTTTCGTCTTTTTTTTGTTTTACAAAGGTTTTGTCCAAAATTTTCTGTATTTTATTATTGATAATATTCTAATTTTTGTACCTTCTGTGAAACAAATAAAGTCTGATAATACTTGTGCAATTTCAGTATTTTTTTATTTTATTTTGTTTTTGTTCCAGAAAAGAGAATGATCGATTATTTCACTTTTAAAATAGCTACTATTGATGCTGTATAGATTGAAATACATACAACTGATGAGTTTAAAAATTACAAATAATTAAATTATAGTTTTTATTTTATTTCTTCGCTCATTCACTTTTATTTAGATGTATTAACGATTATTTTATTCTTTTCTCTATTCACATTTTTCCTATTTTTCATGCACAATTTCGACCATTAATTATGGGTCGTAAAAACGATACGAACAATAGTACATCAGTAGTTGATCATTATCGCAAACAACTTGGTAAGAACTTAATGTTCTTCCATACATGTATAAGTTACTTGAATTATTTAATCTCAATTGATCTATATTTATCTAGGTAAACAAGAAAAAAAAATTGTTGCTGAAAGACGTAAAGAAATTCGAGATTCAAAGGATAAACGTCAAACAATATCATATTGGAAGGTTCGAGATAAATCTCTATTTATTAACCATACTTTTTTATCATTTTTGTGATATAGTAATAAAAATCACATTATTGCATGATTTGCATGTTTCATATTTTTAATGCATTTTATTAGTATTATTTATTTCTTATTGGGATAAATAGTTTGAACAAGTGTTCTATCAAAAGTTTCTAATAATTTACAATATATTGAACAGTTTTTCAGAAACTATTCGTTTTGTAATTTGTTAATGAACTTTTGAAAATTAGTTCTATTTTATCATTTTATTCAAAAGTGGAAGAAGAATTTAAACAGTTTAAAGTGGTGATGGTTGTCTTAATTAGGCGGTGGACCGTTACCTCCGTTACTAGTAAAGGGTAACGGTTAAATTAAATGCTAAAACTAACTTTCAAGTCTGCTTAATATGAATTCTGACTTAAGATGTTCACTGAGACCATTATTCTTATATATAATTTATAATTCTTTTAATACCTTTGTTTTTTGTGTAGGACATGTGCATTTAGATGCAAATGAATTAAAGGTCCTACAGTATGGGCTGAAATATATTCTAACAAAACATAGAAAGGTGGAAACGAAATTACTAGACGAGATAAAGCATGTTTCGAAGACGCATCCTCTTAAACTGAAAAAGATTTGATGCGCAATGTGATAGTACAATTATCTTATGTATTTCGTCCCGATATGAGAAGGGAAGAATATAGAGCGTTGGATATGCTAAGGAAATGTCGAGATTGTTGTGATTAAACAGGCGGATAAAGGGCAAGGGATTGTAGTGATGAGCAAAGATGTTTATGAGGAGAAAGCTTACATTCTATTGAATGACATACGAAATTATGCAAGAGTTGCAAAAAGAATCGTGTGGGAAACGTACAGAACTGTAAAAGCACAAAATTCATGAGCTCATCACACATGATCATATTCCAGCTAGACTTGCACGTAATATTAGATACAGAGATCTATCTAAATTATCGAATTTCTATATACTTCCAAAAATACATGAAAAAAGCTGCACTGGTAGGTCGATAGTATCAAGTACTAGATATTATACTGAGAGATCATCAAAATTTCTCTATAAAATCTTAGAACCTTTTGTCGACAGTTCATCTAAATTTATTAGGGAGAAATATCACTGCGATTTCTACAGTTCACAATAGTACAAAATAATTACTTTTTAAGATTGAGTCTATGCAACGAGGGTGTTAAATTTCGTTTTCGAAAATAGAGCGATTTCCGATATATCTCTCTTCCGTCAAGGGTTTGTCCAAACAGAAGAGCTTGTTATAAATTTTTTAACTCTACAGCTCAGTTCACGTTAGAGAAGGAGCCACTCTTCCACTAGCCAAATAAGCGATAGACTCTATTATTTCAGGACAGAAAACTCATCAGTGTTTGATAGTCAAATACAGTCAAACTGTTACCCGTTATTGGTAACGTTTGAATCGTTACTCTTTACCAGTAACGATTCACCCCCTAGTCTTAATCTATATAAATTCTACTTTTTTTAGAACATACTTTGGACATTGGCCGCTGTGTTACTTGTTTGTGCTGTTGTTTATTCATTTTTCGTGTATTATCTTACACCACGTTCGCCTAAAGACTTCTAAAATCGACAAAAGATGTCATTAAATATAAAAGCGGCTCTTCTTCTATTAACTCGTCCATTATCATCCGATCTAAATCGTTCTGTTCCCTCTCTACTATTAACTGTTAAACCACATGTTCAATCTCGTCTATTAATCTATTTGAATCCCATGAAGTCATTAACGCAACAACAACACGAACAACTAAAACCGATTCAATTAACAAAAAATGATCGTCTTTCGATAAGAGATTTTACAACGTCTGTTTATTCAGCATTAACATGTTTTGATCATGATTTATCGGTTGACGTTTTATTACAGAATTTTGATGGTGAACAAATAACATTACCAGATTATTGTCAAGCTGTATTTACCGATTCTCAACAATCTGTACAATTGATAAAAGAATTTTGTACTAAACAATTTGGACAAAAACTAGAAGAAAATTTTATTTTAAAATATTTAACGGAATTAACAGCTGCAACATCAATAGAAGCGAAAGATCATTTCACAGTTTCACAAACAGAAAGTGATTTATTAAAGGAGAATTTTACATTTGATAATGGTGTATTAGGAGGTAAATATGTTCCTGATACATTGACTACTAGATAGAGCGCTATAAAATTACTATAAGCAAATTGAATCAAATTCTATTAGCAAGATATATTTAGTAATCTTTCTTCATTCGTTAGGTACATTTGATCATCTTCACAACGGTCATAAACTGTTATTGAGTGATAGTGCATTATTGTGCGATAAGAAACTTGTTATTGGTGTTACCGACGGTGCTATGATTCAAAATAAGGGGAGTAAATTGTAATCAATTATTATTATATTATAAATTCGTGTATATCTTATAGGTTTTAGCTGAATTAATTGAACCTGTGTCTGTTCGAATGGAACATGTTCGATCTTTTATAAATGATATTCGACCAATGTTAAATGTACATTGTGAACCGATTACTGATCCCTATGGACCATCTATCACCATGCCTGATCTAGACGTAAATATTCTTTTTTAAGTTATATAAATATTGTAGCTTTCTGTTTTTATAGTGTATTATTGTCACGGAAGAAACGAAAGATGGTGCAATACAAGTAAATGAAAAACGAAATAATAATGGTCTATCTCAATTAGCTGTGCATATTGTTCCAATCTTACCATCTGACAAGAATAAGAATAATGATGATGATGTAAAAATTAGTTCAACATCTCTAAGACGGCAATTATTGGGTCGTTTACTCAAACCAGTAAAGGTAAAAGTCTGCATTTATCTTCATTATTTCATTCGAATCCATCCATTTTATTTTAGAAACAATCACAATCGAATTCCCCATACATACTTGGGTTAACAGGTGGAATGGGAGCAGGTATGTAAATCTATTTTGTCTTATTAACAAAAATTTACAAGTGTTTGTTATCTTAGGAAAGACAAGTATTGCAAATAGATTAGAAAAATTAGGTGCTGGTATTGTTGATTGTGATAAATTAGGTTAGAAATTTTATTACTTTTAACGTATGTGTATGACGATGTGTCTCTTTCTTACGTTTAGGACACGAAACGTACCAAGTGAATACAGATGCTTATAAGAAAATAATTGAAGTATTTGGTGATGATATTCTATCCACGGAAGATAAAACAATTAATCGTAAATTACTTGGCAGAAAAGTATTTGAAAAACCAAATGAACTGAAAAAATTAACCGATATTGTATGGCCAGAAATTTTAATTTTGGCTAATAAAAAAATTGAACAGCTTTACAATCAAGGTAAATATTCAACCTGTTTAAAATAACATTTGAATTAAATATGAAGTGACAAAGATAAGAATATGACACTCTTTGAATCGATAGAATATATCCGATGCTTGATGAACAAGAAGTCAGTCTTAAATACGGATACACATGTTCATACAATCGAACAAAAGCACCTTGTGTCAGGTATACGTTCACTTTTTATTACAAAATTCATCAGTGTTGAATTTCATTAATGTGTTGGACATTCTCAAAACAAACTATTATCTAAAGTTCTTGTTATCTAAAAAAAGCTCATTGAAACTTGCGAACAAAATGTCTTTTATCAAGCTAATTCATCGTTAATTTCACATCTGATGTAACAGAGAAAGAGATGGCAGTTAGTAATTGCGAATTCTTTGTTAAGTTTTTTTTCAGGCATTTTTTCGAAATTCAACAGAAAAGAGAATACAATAGAGAATTATGTGAAAAAGGACGAACTGTAGGCCAGAGTGCTCTACACACTGTTACATTTAGCTTCCATATTTCGTATCTTCAAAAGTAGCATACTCTATCTTCTGATGCTTTACGTCAACTGTGTTTTTTAGGTAAAAGAGTGATCATATTGGATGCTGCCGTCTTGTTAGAAGCAAAATGGGATAGTGTTGTTAATGAAATATGGGTAGCTGTTATACCACCAAAAGAAGTAAGTTTTAACTGATTTTTAATTTTAATCTCTCGTCCTCTCCTTTGTTTTCTTCTTCTAAGGCGATTCGTCGTATATGTGAACGTGATCATCTGTCGAATGATGATGCTCAACGACGTCTCTCGAATCAGATGACAAATGCTGAACGGGTCAATGAGGCTAATGTGGTGTTATGTACATATTGGGAAACGTATATTACACAGAACCAAGTGCAATTAGCGTGGAATTTGTTAATGGAACGAATATGAGAGTGGGCCAGTTTTATTTTATTTGTTATTTATTTTATCCATATTTGTTCGGTTTCTTCTTTTTTTTAGTTAATTTAAATGTGATTTGTTTTCTATTGTTTTGTGTTATTATTATGATTATTATTGATAAAATCGATACTCAACGGTTGAACTCATTCAATACAAAATATTCACGTTGATATTAAATACAGCAACGCAGTACTTAGTAAAAATCATGTTGATAACTTGACTGTTAAATTAGTTTGTTGGCACATTAAACAATTGATGGCTACCTTTTGGATATCTCAGAAAGGGTTAAAAGATCAAATATCACAAAAATAAAACATTTTTAAAGTAAAATTTTTAGTTTATCCTCTGAATTTATAAACAACTTTTTGCACGTCGTTCTTTCCAGCATAAAAATAAACACGAAATTTTTCATCATGTTAAAGTTCACACAAAAACATACAATTATACAAAAAACAAACGCTATAACATAGGGGTGGGACAGTTCAGTTCTTTTGAACGGGAACTGGTATCAGTTCGCGTTCAACAAGAACTGAAGCAGTTCTTGTCAAAATAACGGCAACTGGTACCAGTTCTTTTCAAAAATTAAAAATTAAATAAAACCAGTGAATCCAGTTACTCTGACTTTGTCTAGTGTGCCAGAGGTAGATGGTGGGTTTAGTCAACTAAACGCAAGTCAATATAACCAGATATATCGATTTTATTTTACTTTGAATTCTTGAAAAGAACTGGTAACCAGTTCCCGTTCAACAGGAACTGAACTGGTGACCAATTCTTAAGAACTATAGGATACTGTCGCACCCCTACTATAACACAAGAAAATCTTTCTCTCCAAAATGTTTGATTTTAAAAGTTACAAAAAATGTTACATTATTGCATGAAACTACTGTGCTAAAAATTATGAGTTTAAGTTTAACAAATAAACGTTACATTATCGTCATTTTTCTTAAATTAGACAAGTTGAACAAAAAATATTTATTTACAATAAAGAAAAAACCACAAATACATCTATTTTTTTATCTATAGTGATTTGAATAAAGTACATATAAAAATATTTTAAAAATAAAATATCTAGTAAAACAAAATATGTAATGATAAAATGTGAGTTAATTATTATTTATATCCAATATTTAATAAAATTTTCATCACAATGTAAATAATAGATGTTTTTAAATTTATATTTTTCCAAATATTTTATAATATATGCTTTTATATTCTCATTTTGTTCATTATTTAAAATCATAAATTTCATTTTAAGACTAAATAACATTTTTAATTTTAATATAGCTGTTGTAACGAATCGACAACAATATTTTATAGATACATCATGTTCACACTGAATAATTAATGTTTCAATTGTAGAAAAATATTTCAATAATTTATCTGAATTTTCTTCAACATAATAGTCATTTACAGTTAAATGACGAACAAATTGTAAATTATCATTTGAAAAATTATTTGTCATTTTTAACAATAAATTAAAGTCAATTGTTAACGTTGTTAAATTAGATGGAAATTCAATTGAAATATGATCGGCAATTGTTGTGCCACTTTTAAACACAATTTTATCAATATTGGCCAGTGGAGTCATCTAAATAGTTAAAAAAAAAATAATTGTCATTTTGAAAAACATCTCGATAGTTAGTCTGGTGTGATGCACGATATTAGAGCATTATATCAATTTTCTTCCTCTCATCTAATCGTTACATCTCAAAAAACAACAACAAATTGTCGCAGTATTTGTTTCTTGTCAAAACTAGGGGGTGAGTCGTTACCAGTTACCGTTACGGTAACGATTTGGCTGTATTTGATACACTGGGCAATTTTGGCTTGGCACCTGGACATGTGCTAGAAAAGTAACACGAAAGCCTCTAAACACTCTTTTCATAGGTCTTCGTATGTGCTCTTTTCAACAGCTTGGTTTTTAAACTTCCAAAGTATGTTTGTACTAGTTTTTCAAAGATCGGATTTCTATAAAACCTGTAAAAACACACATTCAAAGTTTGAAAACCATGCCATTGAAAAGAGTACGTATGAAAACCTATAAAAAGAGCGTTTAGAGGCTTTCGTGCTATTTTTCTACCATAGGTTCATGTGTCAAGACAAAATTGCAATTTCGCTAAAACCGTCGCATTACACTAGATCGAAACATTTTCTGTTCAGAAATACTCCATATTTACATTAACCGATGCCGTTTTTCATACTGATTCCGAATATCAGATTATTTTTTAATACAAGTGGTCCTGAACTGAGGGAAACGGGAAACACTTGAAAACCCAGGGATTTTTGGGAAACCTATAAATCGACTTTGAAAAATATGCTGAAAAATGAGATTTGTATGTCCTGATAATATTAAAAGAATTATGAATTATATACAAGAATAATGCTCGCAGTTAACATTTTAAGTCAGAATTCATATTAAGCAAACTTGAAAGTTATTCATTTGATTTAACCGTTACCCGTTACCGGAGTAACGGTAACGGGTCACTCCCTAATCAAAACTCAGACAAAAAACTGTTTCACTGATAATTCACTTACTTCTACTGGAAATTTCTTTATATTTCCATTTAACATTAATTTTTTGACATTTGGAAATATTTTTTCTATATCCTGATTTACTACTACTGATGAAGCGTCTATCGTTAAAAATTCGACAGTATCCCATTTTATTAAATCAAATTGATTATCTGTTGTGTTCATTTGAAAATTTTGAAATGAATAGGGTAATGAACATAGACAATAATTATAATCATTATTAATATTATTTATTATAAAACATAAAACGTTTATTTTGAATGTTGATTGTATTTTTTGAATATTTAATGAATAATAATCAAATTTATAACGAAGATCAAATTTGAATTGTTCTATTTGAGGTAAATAGACAAGTAAATCTTGTTCTAAACTAGAACCATCAATGGGTTCATCTGTTTCTAATTGTGTAGCATACAATGATAAATATTTTAAATTAACTAATGTTTGAATAAACAATTCAATTTCTTTATAACTAATTGGTACATCATCAGCAAATAATGAAAAATGAATCAAATATTTTGGTATTACACGTTCACTTTCATAATTGATTTCATCATTATTAATATCATATTTATTGTTGCTGTCGTCGTCTTCCCATTCTAAAATAAAAAATAAAATAAAATAGAGCGCATTGGTTCAGTTGTAAAAGACCCAAAGTCTATGAGTCAGTTTTTGTTCAGAGCAATAAATACTTTTTGAGGATAAATCATGTTTATTTTTTGTTGTATAACTGATGTAAGGTGTTAGCACATGAATTATTAATTGTTCAATAAATGGTAAATTTTTCGTTAGAGTATAACAATCATCTATTTTGAATATATCTAAATCTAATATTCGAATCGAATTACATTCGGTTATTTTCGTAATACAACAACAACTTATTTCTTCATTATTTTTAACTGTCATGTAAACTTTTTCACATTTAATTAAACATTGATCTAGTTTAATTGCATCATCCCGTATTAATATTCGATGTATCCATTCGAGTACATTGTGTTGAATTTCATCAAAAACAATTGATAATTTTATTAATTTTCTCAAATATTTTAATTCATTTAACAATCGTGATATAATTGACTTTTTACCCAAACAATTTTTGATCGTCATTGATGAAAGATTAACAAATGATGATAATAAATTAGGATTATTTGTTATCAAATATGATAATTGATCAAAACGATACAAATCACCCAATGTTAAAGATGTGAGATTTAGTGCAATAGTCGATAATGTTAAATGACAAAATGTTTGAAATAACTCAAATGATTTAATCAAACTTAAATTCAAATGATATAATTCACATTCTTTTTGTCGACGTTCACGCGTATCATAAAATGTTGTACGTTCGGTTGATGGGGATAAATAATCGACAATTGATAATGTCGCTTCAGGTGGTAAATGAGTCAAAGAAATAAACGACATCTAGAAAAGAGGAAGACGGAAAAGTGCGAGGTGAGTAATTCTTGAAAAAATGAATAACAATTTGTAATTTTTTTTTTATAAAAGATTTTATATGTAAATAAAACGAGCAGCCTTAGTTTTCGCCTCTACAGCCCTCCAAATTATTTTTTATCCTGTTAAATACTAGAAAGCAACATTGTTAGCTACTAATGAACCTTTTTTGACTATGTGGTGTAAAAACGAAGCCCTTAGTTTGTGTAATTATGTTGAGTCGAAAAATTTGTGTTTATTTTTATCGTTACTTTATCTCCATGTTGCCTACTTTAGTTAATCTTTTTTTTTCTTTTGTTTATTTCTGTTATTTCGTTTTATTTTTATTTTTCCCTATTTCATTTTTGTAGTTTGGCTCAAGTCATTGATATTACAAGTTGGGCACCTATGATGATTCTTACTTTTCACGAATTAACTAGTCTTAGTCTTAAAAGCACTAGATCGGATGAAACTTTTAAGACAAATTCAGACATAAACTAAGATTTTCAAACCTCATTTCCTTTTCTAAATTCATGCTACTATACTATACTGTTTACTGAGATATCTGCAAAAATAAAGTCCTCTATAGTGTAGAATAGTGATGTCAAAGTAGCAGAATCTGAAAACGGGAAAACATTCTCTAACTGCATTTTTCTAGTGTAACAGAAGTCCATGATATAAGCGATTTATTCACTAGTTCAGGTACAATAGGCGCAAAACGCTAGCGTGAACGTAAATTCACGTTGTTCTTAACACTGTATGCCCAGCGTTCGGGAATACGGTTGTTTGTCCAGTCAGTGTTATATATGGCAGTCATTTGCCCAATAAATGAATATACAACCCAGTAATGCATATGGTGTTACAAGTCAAACACTAGGTCATGCAATATAGATCGGGTTTAAGAAAAAGTATTCAACACTTATCTTGTCTAAAATGTTGTATATCCCACAACATTTTTTTTATTAGCACGAGTGTGGATGATAGTTATTATTGTATTGTCTGATACATGCATGCAATGTGGACATTCGTGGCAAACTCAAAACTTTTACTCAAAAATGCATCTGTGCCGAACAAGTGCCGGTGATATGAAGTAAAAACTTGTTTATTTTAATATAAAGTTATACTATAAAGCTAAGATAAACTCATCTACATGAAAATAGTTCAACAAAATGTGAGAATTATGATAACTAAGTAGATCGCAATGTTTTTGATTTAGCTCTGCAAACAATCAATGTTGAATATTGTAGTATAGCCAATGTTTATGTTGAAGGTATAGTGAAAATTAATAGAGTTTTCTCTTTTAGCGTTTCTTTATCTTTTTCTTGATGTCGCATGCAGATCTCTGTATGTCAGACATAAGGATACATAGAAAAAGGAAACGGTGATCTGCATACGACATCAAGAAAAAGATAAAGATACGCTAAAAGAGAAAACATATCACCGGAACAAAAAAAATAAAGTTGGTTTAGAGTTGCTGAAAAGTGATTTTTCGTATTCAGCACACTCGATAACCCAGAAGATTTTCTATTTTTGGCTCGGGGTACTTCCGAAAGTTTAAGAAAAATTTTGAAACAAAATGGCGCAAAAAGTTTTCCATGGAAAAATAATATTAATTTGAAAACTTTTCCTAAACTTTCGGAAGTACCTCGGGCCAAAAACAGAAAATCTTCTGGGTTATCGAGTGTGCTGAATACGAAAAACCACTTTTCAGCAACTCTAAACCAACTTTATTTTTTTTCCGGTGATATGCTCTAATATTGAAGCGATGCTGCATCGATATCTATTATACAGAACTATAGAAACGACAAAATATTGAAAAAGTAACTCTTTTGTAAATACTACTTTTCTTTCGCTCACTTTCTGTTATGACAGAAACAAAATCAGTTTCCATTTTTTAGAAAACTATTTATTTGTATCTTGTATATTAGCATGTTGTGATGTATGCCTATACTAATATGATATTATAGCTTCAAGTAGCCTAAAATTTCGTCTGAAGGATGCTGGAAATATCCTTCGAAAGAGTGTTGAGCTGGTACGATAGGCTGAAGAGAACGCATCAGTAAAGAATAAGCCGAAATTGAGGGGGAAACATCCTAGCTTTTTTCTATGCTGTATGTGTTCGAATGAAACGTCGTTTATTGTTGAGGATAAAAGATGACACTACGCTCTTCCTCAGTGAATTCATTTGCAGACGAGTACTTGTCCAAATGCACCCGCAAGTTGTATCCAACGTTCCTGAGATTTTTTGCAAACAAATCAAGTACTTAAGGTACTTCATCTTCTTGTCAATTGATTGAACAAGCACTTGTTCAAGTAATTCGTGAGTACCATACGAGGTTTCACAAGTGAATCAAGCATCGAGCAAGTACTTTCATGTACTTGAACGAGTAATTACGAAGTGCTATTTTACGAAAATACTTGCCAAATTTGAATAACATTCGACAAATGTATGTTAAATACTCACAGAAACTCATAAGTAAGCAAGTACTAGAATTTCTAAAATAAGAAACGAGGAGAGATAGAAACTGAGCATAGCCAAACGAAAATGATAGTAAAACAATGGTGTTATAAATATAATTGTTACATTCTTTTAGATTTGATAATTAATCCTATCGAAATGAGTACCAGCTATATTTTTGCTTCTCTTTGATTCTTAGTCACTACATCACCAGAAATATCAGAAAAGTAATTCTAATGCTCGGTTCTATGTGTAGTTCAATGTATTTATACCACTTTTTTTGGTGTTTGGAAACCAAATCATTGATGACAGTGTAACTCCTTTTGGGAGCTGATAATTAGACATTTACGTATATTTTATCTTATAGTTATTTTATTATTTATTCATAAAGATTTTGCTCACGTCATATATCAGTAGCATTTTTAAAAACGAAAGAATAAGAATCCGGCTAATTCTTAGAATTAAAAGTAGAATATATCTTATTGATAACATGGAACCTCTTAGTGTTATTTTTGTTGGAAAGAGATCTAATCTCCTCTTATAACTCAATAAAACGTTTTCAGGAACCGTTCTGACCCACCTTCAAAACATCTATATATATCGCAGCGTATATTAGTTTACCATTGAGATCGTTAGATAGCTGAGAATAATGTTCATAACAAAATAAGAAAAGTCTATTCGCTACACATAAGAATGTGCCGGTCATTAGAGAGGTGTACATTCATATGACTCATTCTGTTCACCATCATCTTCTTCATTTTCGCTATCACTTTCCGCACTATTTGATCTCAGATCATGTTTCTTGAGAACAAATGTTGTTCGTTTGAACGGCGGATACTGTGGTGGTAATCGACTATTCATATCATCGTCATCAATTTTCTTTTTATTACTTAGACGTTCTTGAACTTTTGGATCATTGAAATATGCTCTTACATCGATACGACTATGTATCGGTTCCTTCGGTGTTTGTGCTGATGATAAACCGTTTAGATATTTGGCCATTACTGGCTTTTTAAGATTATTATTTCGTTCTGTATTAAATGCTGAGAATTTTATTGGTGTACCTATTCGAGATATTATAGGTGTTGCACGTTTTGATATTGAACTGGGGGTTGGACGACTATTCCAGATTGTTTGTGTTAACGATGGCGATGTCATAATGGATGACATAATAGAATTTCGTCTTGACATGTCACTTGATGCAGATGGTAATGCTTGAACGAATAATGGTGAACCACCATTTTGAGTGTAAATTATTGACTTGATACTTGATCGAAACAGCTGAATGTTATCATTACACCAACGGATTTGTGCTTGGTATCGTTGTAATATGTCCTGTTGTTCAATGATGTATAAATCGAGATGATTTTGTTTATCTAGTTCAATGAATGTATAATGTTTCATGTCAAATGCAATTATTCGTGCATGTTTCGTCTCACAACGATGGACTGTACTGCGTCGAAATGGATAACAACTATTATTATTAGCGTCGTTATCTTCTAACAGACGACTAGTAATTAGTTCTGTTATGAATGGATATTGATTGGAACATTTACTCAAAACTTCAGCCGTAAATAGACTATGGGTATTGCTTGAAGATGTTGATTTATTCAAAGATGCAAATATATTAGCTCCAGAGGATCGACGAGAGACTAGTGGAGGTGGATTAATATGCGCGATAACAGGTACAAATGCACCTATCTCATCCATTCTAATTAGGAATAATTCACCAGAATGTTGACATTTCACTTCTAAATAATCATAGCGATCTTTACGATGTGTAAAGTGTTTATTAATTGTTTGTGGTATGCTTGAGATAAATGTTCGAAGTGTTGAACCCGTTCCATGACGCGAGGGTGATGATGATTTAGAGAGATTAGTACGTGATGCAGTATGATTAATGTTATTCTGATTATTCAATAGTGATCGAGGTCGACATTGTTCAAGAATAGTACCTGGTCGAAGACGTCTAGTAGTTAAATAATTACTTTTCACATCCGAGTTAATTGAGTTATTATACACGATACATGTTTGTAATGTCGTAAAATGAGTAATATTCACTGCTGATGAATTTGTTGACGAAGATGAATTATTAAACTTGAAAGCAGTACTTGAAGCTGAATGAAACTTTAAAGCGTTACTTGAAGATGATGTACTTGATGGCGATGGTGATGGACTCGGAGAGCCAACAGACACGGCAGGTGGTGTTGAACATGTTGATTTCAAGATTGCTTGAAGGGCTTGTATTGATTGAACTATGCTATAATGGGTAATACCTCGTTCAACTTGAGCAAATAAACCTAGAACAATAAACGCAAATGCTATTTAACAGCTTCACTTTGCTCATACAATTCTCATACGCTTCTTCTGTCGAAGGCCCCTGCATTTCATGTCACAAATGATGGTTTGTATGACAATTTTAATTTTCAGAAAAGTACCGAGTTAGATCATAGCTGCAAATACTCGTTTTTTCACAAATGTGATTTGGAGACTTTTCAATAAGTTTTTCGAAAGTTGTAGAAAGTAAAAGCTTTTGTGCTTTTGAAGTTGTTTAATGATACAGAATTGGGTGAACATATGACGTTGCCAAATATTTCGGATTAATCGAGCTAGTAATGATCGTATGTTTGTTCATTTCTTTACATAAAAAATGACTCAAAAACTATTTGACTGTCAGGACGTACCGTGATATGCCATATGTCAATGGCATCGATGCGAAGTGCCGTACTGGAAATTATTTAGTCAATAATTAGTTCGATCATAGTTGCTTTTACTTATTGTCCATCCGAGAAAAAAATGATACATCGATGTTTTTTGAATAACTCGAAAGTGGAAAGAGCCAGAGTGACGCGACTTTCACCAATCGCAAGAGGAGCTTATTCAGCATCTTCGGTCAGCTTTCCAAAAACAGGTTTTTCGAAGTGACCTTTGGAAAACTTCTGGAAAAGTCGAAAATGTAAAATAGCAAACTATTGATCATCAGACGATATGATGTAAGCGAGACCTTGAAAATCACTGGTCTGGATCGGAGTTCAGATTTTTCCCGAAGT